AGTTTTGTGCGACACAAGAGAAACTACGTAAACAAAGGAAACACTCACCGATGAAGCCGAACCGGAACTTGCTGCAAAGGTTTGTCATTCACGTCTACGACTGACTGAACAAACAACTAAACATAAAATCATCGCGTGAGTCTGTTTGGTGCCAAAAGAAATATGTTACTGTAAAACAACAAGCTAGCTGTCTTCGCTAGATGCTAGTCTAAAAGCTTCCCACAGATCCCAGAAGTGCTCCAAACATTTACCAGCATGTCAGACAAGTATATAAGAAGGCAAAGTGCTAAAAGGTTACACGGATATTTTCCGAACTGCTCCGAAACCGAACCAAAGGTTCGTATTTCTTCACATACTGCGGCTGTTTCAATAGCGCGCCAGTTCGGTTGTGAATCAAGAGCGCGAAATATACACGACCTTTGGCATAGCGTGAGTCCACCAATCACAGGGAAGAAAACGCCTCCGTCATCAGCTGTCCTAGTCCGCCCATAACAAAGATGGCGTGTGGCGTCGCCTTCAACGGAGAGGTAAAATAACGACAGCTCCCTCTAGTGTGAGCATTTCACGTTTCACAAAATTATATCCCATCCATCCAAGTAAAAGCTATTAAAATATAATTTTTTGTGTAAATTACACTTATTGGGAGAAAAAGCTAAAGCTAGTTGTTAAAAAATGGTTCCAAAATATTTAAAATACAAAATAGATCAAGGAGCTGTTTTTATTTATTTTTTTTACATTTTATCCCAACTTCTTGATAATCATATTTCATGTCAAACAATTACAATTCATTTTATAATTGTGTCTTTTATATTGTTACACCATTTTTTTCATCACATCAATATGTTAAAGATGAAGAATAATAAATGTTTTTTCCCCAAAAACATATCAGCAACCCTGTTACTGAAGCTCATTTAACCTGGATAAGGAAGAGCAAAACAATTCTATGACCTGAAAAGAATGATTGAGTCAGGAACCAGTTTACTTTGGTATATTTTGTGCTTATCCAGTCTTTTGAGACCCGACTGAGCGTCACTCTAACCTGTTACCCATACAACCAAAAGAAGGCAAATTAACTTCAAAGTTTCCTACCTTTATTTATATAACTATATTCACCCAGACTTTCACAGCCTACTGTTCCACTGTCAGTAAGTTTTTCCAAGAAAACACTAATATTAGCACAGATTTAAAACCCTGTCACTAAAGAGAATAAACAAAAATTACAAACCTAGAAGTTGATCCTGTTTTCCTGGACTTTTTCAGTGGAAGAACCATTTCAATACTCATCCAAGTGACTTCTTCACTCTCAGCTGACTGCAGGTTTCCCCAACCTTTTAAACAGTACATTTGCATAATAGGTGAAGCTAACAATGTCTAACAATGGGCAGTTTCATGATTGTACCATTGATTGACCATGAGTACCATTCAGAGAGTTGGGGAGTGGACGCAATCACAGCATTGTAAGTTGGAGATAGAGGTACACTTAAGGGGCCTAGGTATCTTTTCCCTTTCATGTAAATGACCTGTGTTACTCTCCGTCCCTCTGTTCCTCCCTCTCCAGGACGTCCACATCCTTCACATTAAAGAAATGGCAACTGGCCTGTTAGTGTACATAGACTGGGGAAGTATAAATATATATCTGGATCTCTTCTACAGCATGTTTTTTGTCCTGTCTTCCTTCTCTCACCCCAACTGGTCGCAGCAGACAGACGCCCCTCCCTGAGCCTGGATCTGACGGAGGTTTCTTCCTGTTAAAGTTTTTCTCGATTGGTTTGGGTCATTTCTTGAAACCGAGATGACAATCTCAAAACCATAAGGTCATTTGGCCAAACAGTCTTACAGTTCTGCCCAACAGTATAGCTCACTAGCAAAATCAAATATCCTTCCCCAAACTCTTCGTCCATGCTTCAAAAGCAGATTCCTTTCCCATATAAAAGGTCAGTACAGTCAAAATAGCACAGATCCTTCTCAATTGCCTTGGCACATGTGCATTCATTTAGTGCTTTTGTCAAAATAACCTGGATGGTTTAGCACAACACCATGGATCCCTGCAAAAGCTCACACCTCTCCCAAAAGAGTTTATCCATGTGTCAAAACTAAATATCCTTCTCATATAAATAGTCAATGCCCCAAAATGCATTATACCTTTGGCATTGTTTAAGCACTGCAAGTCAAAATGCTTAGACGTTCTGTCACTGAGGCACAGGTCTAGCAACAGAATACCACTATGAATAAAACTAAAAGATGTTACAGTAAAATCAGCCTCCAGTAAACCACTCATACTCAAGGAAACTGTAAACATACTTATCCGTACAAAGAAATGTTAACATTAGAGAACATACTGTGAAAAGAAAACATATACAGGATTCTGTAAATGTGAACAGTTATAAACACAAACAAAAAACAAAAAAAAACAAAAAGAACTCTAGCCTACCATACTGTAAATAAGGTTTCAGAACTATAGTACAGTAATATTTTCAGTGGTCGCCATTGTCACCCTCTCCTTCCTAGCCACCATCCTCATCCCCCTGGCCATCGACGCGCTGCTCGCTGTCAGGCCATAAATTCTCATCCATATCGTAACGGATATTTTCCCTTGCGATGCACCGAGGGAAGAAACGGCGTGAATGTCTCAACCATCCCCTACATTAATCCCCTGTGATGTCCTCACATGCAGCATCCATTGCATGCAGCAGGGCCCTCTGGTCTTGAGCCTGATGCTCATACACCCTCCACCTCCAAGCTGAAAAAAAAACCCTCAATTGGATTTAGGAAAGGAGAGTAAGGTGGAAGAAACTCCATCAGCATCCGGGGATGGGTGGTGAACCAGGTTCTGATGCGTGGGTCGCGGTGGAAGTTCACATTATCCCACACAATGACATAATGTGGTAGCTGAGGTCCTTCTTCACCTCTCTCATTTTCTGGGATCAGATCAGTATAAAGGTGGTCCAAAAAATTGAGGAGCTTTTGCGTATTGTAGGGCCCTAAACTGGGAATGTGTGTGGCCACACCTCTTTCTGATATGGCGGCACACATTGTTATATTTGCTCCTCGCTGGCCTGGGACATCCACAGTGGCTCGGTGGCCAATGATGTTACGGCCACGCCTTCGACCTTTGGCCAGGTTGAAGCCAGCTTCATCAACGAACACTAGGATGTGAGGGGTTTCGTTGCCTTCTAATGCCATTATTCTCTACAATAGAATAGAAATAAATCTAATCAGTCAAGTAGAGACAGATACTGCAGGGAGGATCTAAAGTACTGTAAAAACAGGGAGTGGACAACTGAAGACAATTTCTAGGCAAAATGCTCTAGTCACACAATTCTGAAGGTGGATTCTGAAGGTAAAAAGGATAACGCAAAACAAAAAAACAGTGGTAACCATGTCTTACTGTAACAGTGTTACAATGATAGACAACCAGTAGTTGACTTACATGCACATACTGGTACCGCAGCCCTTTCACTCCGTCAGAGTTTCTCTCAAATGGTACCCCGTAAATCTGTTTCATGGTCATCTGAGATGTGGGAAACTGCTCCTTCGTTAGTTCTACTTTCACCTGATTGATTGTCAAGTACTGTCGTAACTTTATCAAATGTTCCAAGACATACTTTCATGGTATTATATCTCTGACTAATTTTGACAGTTGAACAGACAATTGTGCATATGATGACTTACACACTGAAACCATGCTGATATGTTTTGGAGTGAGTGACCATTTCACTGAAAAATCAACTAATCAGTTTAGATCGCCAAGATCTATTTATTTGGAAAATGTGCTAAATGTGGGCTCATTGTGCTAACTGTAGCTACTTGTACATAATCATTTGAAAAGAAGCACAGAGTCACTTGAGACATGTACTAAAGCATTTGCAATTTGATAAAACCAATGAGAAATGACATTCTGTTGTGAACAATTGCAAGGTGGTTTGGAGATTTGTCCATGTTATTTTGAGAATGTCATCTCGGTTTCAAGAAATGAGCCAAACCAATCGAGAAAAACTGTAAAAGGGAGGTTTTTTTTCCACCACTGTCGCCAGTTCTTGCCAGTAGGGGTCATATGATTTTTGGGGTTTCTCTGTATGTATTATTGTAAGGTCTGCCTTAAAATAAAAAGCGCTTTGAGGCGACTGCTCTTGTGATTTGGTGCTGTATAAATAAAATTTAAAAAAAAAAAAGGATTTTTGAAGGGCCTATATATGAAATAAAGATATGTTTATGATTCTGCATATTATATTATATTATATTATATTATATTATATTATATTATATTATATTATATTATATTATATTATATTATATTATATTCAATCTTTTCCTTCTTAGTCACTTAAAGTATGTTTATAAAACTGTTTATTGTTATTTATTTATTTTTACAATTTCTGCTTCCCTCCTGGCCAGATCTTTCTTTAAAAAAAGACATTTTTTATGTCAATGACACTTTTTACCCGGATAAATAAAGGATATGTAAAAGTCTCTGCTAAAAACTGCAAGCAGACCTTGTGCAGCAAAGAAGCGCCAGGCCATCATACTACCACCACCACGTTTGACTTCCAAAAAATGAACCTTTTTTCCTCATCAGTTCATAGACTATTAGTTTATATATAATATATATAATTTCAATTTAATATTATTTTATTTAATATATTTCTTGGGGAATGATACGAACCTTTGTGTTCGTTTTGCTCTCCCATGGACGCCATTTTTCACAGTCTTTTTCTTATTGTTGAATCATGAACTTTGATATTGACTGAGGTGAGTGAGGCCTGCAGTTCTTTAAATGTTGTTCTGGTTCTCTTATGACATCTTTTATGCTCCAAATCTTCTCCATTTGTCTTTCCAGACTGAGAGATGTCAATGGCTTTATTTCTCAGCTGTTTCCTTAGACTGTGTTATTATGTGGTGCTGTTTGAGAGCTTTTAGCCTACTTCACTTTATCAGACAGTTTCTCTTCCTTTTGGTGATTTCATGATTCAGCAAGTCTGGCAGTAATAAGGCCTGGGTGTGGTTAGTGAAACTGAACTAAGCTCTCACTTTGTCGCACAGGACCAGGTAGGATTGGACAACTTTCTTACCATAATAAATTAAATAATCACTGTTGTATTTAATCAGGTTACTTTAGTCTAATATCAACATTTATTTTACCATCTGAAACATTTAACAAATATGGAAAAAAACAAAAACCAAGAAATCAGGAAGGGACAAATACTTCTTCGCAGCACTGTTTGCCTGAAGTGATTTTAAAAAGAATATCACCACATTTCTAAAGTAAATATTTGGTATTTCTCCTTCAGCTTGTAGATGATCAAAACTGGTTCTTTGAGTTCTGCCTTTCCTGTTCTTTGTTTCACTTTAGTTAAACAATGGCTGATGAGCGTGCTGTTCCCAGCTCTGGTAAATATTATTCTGTTCATGAAACCTGTATATAGAAATGGAATATAAGACTGTTTTGATTTATTTGTTAACATAACAAGGAAGCACATTTTTAATCAGACTCAGTTGTTACTGGCCGTGTCTTTGCATACAGGGAAGTGACTTTCAGTGTCGCATGTCTGATTGTGCTTAGATTCCACAGTGTTCAGTAGAGTACTCAGTGCTTAACAGAGATATCATTTACAGATTATTCTGTATGTATAAAACATCATTTTATTTCACACCTCTGTCATCTTGGCTTTTAAACTGATGGACAACAAGCTAAGCAAACATACCACTGCTATCTACTCACATTGTTTTCACAGTTTTATTTACTAGTACTTGCAGTTACACAAACGTGTCCATAAATTCTGTATGAAGACACTTTTATAGTTTTACAGTTTGTAAACAGTGCTGCATCTGTGTTGCAGGGCCCAGTCACGACTCTCCAGAGTTGAGGATCGTGCTGATAGGTGGCAGAGAATTAACAGGAGAGCCCAGTAATAAGAGTCTGAGCGGTAACATCATACTGGGTCAAAATGTTTTTGACACCAGCAGAAGAACTGCCCAGAGTGTGGTGGGGCAGCAGGAGGTTCATGGCAGACGGGTCACTGTGGTGGATACTCCAGGCTGGTGGTGGCACTATCCACTAGAAAACACCCCAAAGCTGGATCAGATAGAAATCCAGAACAGCGTCCATCTGTGTCCCCCAGGACCTCACGCATTTCTTCTGGTCTTTCATCATAGCTTTTTTTTGCCCCAGATCTTCATATCATCTTTAAAAGAGCACCTGAAACTTTTCGACAAGGATGTGTTGAATCACACCATCGTACTGTTCACTGCTGAAGATCCATGGGATGAAAAAAATATCAACTTCAAAATCAGTGAGTGGTCAGAAATGCAGTGGATTCTTGAGCAATGTGGAAACAGAAAACATGTCCTCTGTGTGAGTAACAGGGAGGACAGCAGTCAAGTTGAAAAGCTTTTTGAGAAAATCGAGGCAATGGTCGCTACGAATGGAGGCCGTCACTATCCCATTGATCGTGCTCATGGAAACGCTCTGAGGGAGGAAATGAAAGCAATAAGTGACAGAGCATCAAAGAGGTTTGGTGAGGTGCAGACACACAGAAGGAAACTCAGAGCACTAATTGAAGGTGAGTCAAAGAGGTCCTGAAAAAAAAATCACAATAAATGGTAAATGGCCTGTATTTATATAGCGCTTTTCTAGTCCCTAAGGACCCCAAAGCGCTTTACATATCCAGTCATCCACCCATTCACACACACATTCACACACTGGTGATGGTAAGCTACATTGTAGCCACAGCCACCCTGGGGCGCACTGACAGAGGCGAGGCTGCAGGACACTGGTGCCACCAGGCCCTCTGACCACCACCAGTAGGCAACGGGAGAAGTGTCTTGCCCAAGGACACAACGATCGAGACTGTCCAAGCTGGGGCTCGAACCGGCAACCTTCCGATTACAAGGCGAACTCCCAACTCTTGAGCCACGATCGCCCCTTAATAAAGTTGAATTAAAGACTAATAAATCTCTAAAGTAAATTACAGAAGAAAATGAGACATATTTCTCACTTTATTCACACACACATACAAGATATTTCATGTACCACCACATGAGACAAGGCAATGGATACCAGTTACTAGTTACAGTTACATTTAGATATTCATTAGAGATATTTGCCTTCTGAATGTAGGGACTCATGGTCTGTCGCTACTTTGTAACTTAAAAACAGAATCCCTATAGAGATAAGCTCCGATCCATAGGTTCCAGTTTCAGTTCCATTGAAACTTCCATGGCAGTTTGTGTTAGATATTTTAGTATTATGGGAGCATGTACTGGGTACTTTTTTTGATGATATTAGACAGAAGATTCTGTGACTCAACAAGGCTCTTTATGTTAACCGTCATTTTCTCTTGCTTTGTCAACTCAAGATTTTATGGTGTGAAAGTAGATACTAAGGTTGGAGGGAAAACACCAACAAATCACTCTTTTACTTATCACTCCCTTGCAGAAGATGTTTATGTGAAGACCATCTGGGTTGTGTCAGAACTCACGGATGTAGGAGACCTCTGTATAAGATTTATAGGCCTTGAGGGTGCATCTTGTAGAACAAAGGATTCTAACTGTCTAGTGTTTAACGGACCTGTCAAAGGTATGTTGAGATACGATTGTAGAAGGCCTCTCTCAGAGCGGGGGGGACCTTCCTTATATGCTTCTAACTTGAAACTTGTTGACACACTGAACTTTCTGCCTATAAATACCGCTGCACAAAAGAATAAAACTTTGAGTTGATTTTGGGAAAGCAACCTGAACAGTCTCTGTATCATTTTGTTCTCCTAACTGCTCCCGACGTCGTAACTAACCCGCTGACGGCATATCTGAGTGCTACTTGAGAATATATTGCTGAGTGTTACTTAAGAATAATTTTGAATCTTATAGGGTAAAGACAAAACTCTGCTTATAGACGCCCACGCCTCGGGGAAACCCGATCCACGGACCAGACCCGGGACGGAGTTTCTTTCAGTTTGCTCATGTCTACTTGGGTCTTTTGAACTTGGAGAAAACATCTGACTTTGTTGCTCTCACTAGTTCTTGGCCTCCTTCCTTCTGCTTAGCACACAGTGCTGGATTTTGGGTGAAATCCTCCATGCATAGTAAGGAGCTTCCAAGTCTTGTTGTCAATAGTTTTTATCTTTTTATTTGGCCAGCTTATTATCCCAATTGGATATCTAATCACTGGGACAGCGTAGGTACCAGATCTTGTTGGTAGCTATTGCCCAGATCGTATTCTTTCCATTCAGCTGACTCCTCAGGACTTGCCTTACTCTCACTAGGTATTTGGTGGTTGCAGCTTTCATGATTCCTATTTATCATTGGAATTCTTGGGCACTTGTAGCTATCCTTAAGGTCTGTAATGCTGCTCTGACTATTTTTCGGACTATTTTTCTTCTCTTTGTTACCATCTGACTAGACTTCTCCAGTCCGAATGACATTCCGATGTCATTGCTGTAGATCCTAGTGGTATGGATCAGTATATCTATGTCTCGTTCACTCTTGGCATACAGCTTGATGTCATCCACGTAGAGGAGGTGGCTAATAATTGCTCCATTCGGTATGTGTAGCAAGTCTTGTCAGCTATTTAACTGAGAGGATTCAGGACTATGACGAATGGGGACAGAGCATCTCCTTGTGGAAACTTGTGCAGTTGGCTTGAAGTTGGCCTCTAGTGTTGTTCCCCACATCCCCATTGAATTTCTGATGAAGGCTCTGAGGGTCCTTTTAATCTTGGACAATTGTAGGCATTCCAAGATCCATGTATACGGCAATGTGTCATGGTCCTCGGTCGGTGCCCCAGTGTTTTGAGTTTTTGTACTTTTATTTTGATATTATCACATTTTATGGCAGTTGTGTTTTGGGTTGCATTTTTTGTACTTCTAGCTCTCCTGTTCTCCTTGGTTTGAGATTTCTAGTGCTTATGTCACAAGTGTAGAAGGGAACCCCTTCAATAATTGGAAGAGCAGCAGGGGGTGATCACAGAAACAGAAAACGTATTACCCGGTTAAAATAGTCAAAAGATAAATACACTTTATTTACAACACTAAAAATACCCTGCCCTTTTCTTGGTTGCTGTTATGAACAAACAAACAGATTATTTCAGGGTCTCTTTTCAAGAGACTAAAAGCAATATAAGTGATAAATATTACCATTGTGTAGAATATTCTTATATTTCACTTTTACTTGTTCCCATGTTCTAGTGGGTCCTGTTGTGGCTCTAATGTGAAAGGGGATATAATATAACATAATATAATATAATGTAATATAATATTGGATAATATAGTGTAATATAATAAATCTACCCTACCGCCTACTGGTGTTGGCCAGAGGGGCCGATGGCGCGATATGGCAGCCTGGCTTCTGTCAGTCTGCCCCAGGGCAGCTGTGGCTACAACTGATTAAACTCTGAAACTCCTGAAATCCCTCACTCAAGAGTTCTTGCTCTGCTGCCGAAAAATACCGAGCGCGCTCCTTCGACATTTTCACCGACCAATCAGAGGGTTGCCAATCAATGTTTCTACTATCGATGCGTAGCCCCTTTTACGACACCCAGTGATCTCACATTACTTCATCCAGCTGTACTAATCGTCAACAGCAGGTGTGTTCGGAGAACCGGATTAGTGAGCTCACGGTTAGCGCGATGATTTGGTCTTGGATGTGTCATTTGATCTTGGATGTAGTAAGCGACGTACGAAGAACGGGCCCCAGGTTTTATCCAAAATATCCTAGTGATATCACTGCTGCCATGGTGTAGATCAGCTGGTTGGTTTTGGTGATGTATATATATATATATATATATATATATATATATATATATCATGATTTGAATGCATTAAAACTATATGCCTGATTCTTGATTAGTTTTGCTTCTGCAGGTGGTAAAACCCCACCAGCACATTTAAGACTAGTGATGGTTGGTGCTCAGTGGTCAGCTAAGAGCTCGGCTGGAAACACCATTCTGAGGAAAAAGGCTTTTGCTGTTCATCACAGAAGAACAACGATGTCCAGTGAAATTAATCACGGCATTCTGGGAGAAAGGACACTCGCAGTGGTGGATTCTCCTGGCTGGTTCTACAACCACACCCTTCAGGACACCTCTGAGACAGATAAACATGAAATAGAGAACAGTGTGTACATGTGCACTCCAGGACCCCACGCAGTGCTCCTCGTGGTAGGCCTGGCATCTGCATTTAATACATCCTATCATAGAGCAGTCCAGGAGCACATGAGTCTGTTTAGGGATGATGTCTGGAAGCACACCATTGTTCTGTTCACTAGAGGTGATTGGCTGGGAGTGAAGACTGTGGAAGAACGTATAGAGAGTGAGGAAGGTCTGCAGTGGCTGATGAAGCAGTGTGGGAACAGGTACCACGTCCTGGACAACATGAAGGATAATGATGAGATGCAGGTACAAGATCTCCTGGAGAAGATTGAAGAGATGTGGGCAGGAAATGAAAACTCACATTATGAAGTTGATCCGGATCGTGAAGCACAGCTGGAGGCCAGAAAAGAGGCAGAAGGAAAATTAGCTAGAAGGATCAGAAAGACCACTGAAAGACAATCAAGAATACTGGGAAAGTTATTTGAAGGTAATCAAAAAATCATCAAATAATTATGGCATTATTTTAGTCACTCTTTCAGTTTAAACTTTACTTTTTTACAGGAGAGAGGCTGAAAATCACTGACCTGAGGATTGTACTGCTTGGCAGAGAGGAATCTGGGAAGAGTATGGCAGGAAACAACATCCTTTTTCAAAACAATATTTGAGAGAAGTTTGTTGAAAAAGGTAACCCAATATGCTGCCTGAATTGAAGTGTGATATAGAAAGGATAAGATTTAATTTAATTTATCAGATCTGTAACAATTGTTAAATAAAAAAAAAATTGTGCAGGAATTCGAGGACCGGAGAAGAACAGAAAAGTGTGTAAAGCATGAAGGAAATTTAGGTGGAATAAATGTTGCAGTCGTTGAGACTCCAGGCTGGCCTGCAGACACGACGGCTCCTGTCTGGCTAAAAGAAGAAGTTCTCCGCAGCGTCTCCATGTGCGCTCCAGGCCCTCATGTTTTTCTCTTGGTTGTTCCCATTTCCAAAGCATTCACAGAGGAAGACCACAAAGCACTGGTTGAGCTGTTGATGCCCTTTGGAGAGAGAGTGTGGAGACATTGCATGGTGTTGTTCACCTGGGGAGACTGGCTGAATGACAGACTCATTGAGGAGCACATTGCAGGAGAGGGGAAAAGCCTCCAGTGGCTGGTGGAAAAGTGTGGGTACAGATACCATGTCCTCAACTGCCATGGTTTGGGTTATCCTTTTCCTGTCAAACTGCTCTTCCAAAAAATAATTGATTTGATTACACGGAACAAGGAACAATGCTTCACTGCTGAAAGCAAACAAGGGAAAAAACAGCCTGTGCTGACAGAAGAAGAGTGGAACAGGAGGGAGCAAGAGCTGATAGACCGAATGTTGACAGCTGTTGTAAATGAACCAGAAGAGCCAAAACAACCATTTGTGAAGCGAGGAGCCAGCTTGGATGGAGTTTTCATTCCAAGCAGTGAGTTGATATTAATTAGAGAAAACTCTGAATTTGTTTTATATTTTTACTTGTGGGTATGATATCAAATAGCATTCAATTTCTGTTTCAGTGTGCGGAGACGTTCCCTCCGAGTTTGGGAACATGTCAGAACTTTTTAATCAAAGAGCACGTGCCAAAGTGTCTGAATGGCTGAAGACCAGAGCTGGAAACTCTGTCACCTCGGGGATTGGCAGCATGAGCACCTCAGCCAGTCATGTGGATGAAAGTCCTCTGCCTGATGAAAATGATTAACCAGCAATTCCCACAACGGACAAGATAGTTATTCATTAGAAGAAAAACTCTATAAAAACTCAAATGCAGGAACTTGCTAAGCAAACTAAAAAAAACTGGATTGAAACAGAGGTACTAAGATCCTGATTTTTTAAAAATAGGTTATTTTTTTATGTAATAAGCTATGCAACCTTCAGTTGGTTTTAATATAGTTAGCAGATTCTCGTTGTCAAAACGGCTGATGCCACCCTAGCCCAAACCTTATATTTGGCCCTGGTTCTACATTAAATGGTTCAACGTTAAGAATTCAATAAAGATTTTATGTTTGACTGTTTTATGTATTTTGCTTGTGATAAAAAAACAACAACTTTGAAATGTAGACTGTAATAATTTTGCAACCCAGTACTTTCACTCTAAGAAAAGAATTTACAGCAAAATGCTGCAGTGTAAAAAACTTAGTTCCATCTGTTAATGCCCTAATTTAATTTCCATATATTTTACTGCATAAAATTATGTTTAAATAATCATTAGAATTACACATTTTGATAAACATATTTTAAAGATGCAACTAATACAATGCATTTTTTTTTTTTAAAACTACAAATTTACGGTGTCATTGATCAGAATCAGAATCAGAAACTTTATTGTCATTGTCATGAGAACAACGAAATGAAGAATGGTCCCCGATCATTGCATCATCCCTAGCAATATCAAAATATAAATAAAACAATAAAATTCAATAAATAAAATAGATAGAATACTTAAAATACTAATAAGATATAACAGTAAAACATTCACATACATTCCCACACACATGCTTCAGACCGTGCATGGATTAACACAAGAGTGGCGTGATGGACATTTTTTTGTAGTATTCAGATGTGTTATTGCAGTTGGATAACAGCTGTGTTTGAGTCTATTAGTCCTTGCTCTGATTGCCCTGTACCGTCTGCCTGAGGGCAACAGTTCGAACAGGGAGTGGCCAGGATGTGAGGTGTCTTTTATGATGTTTTGGGCCTTTTTAAAACAGTGGGCGTTGTGTAGAACTTCCAGTGTGGGGAGAGGGCAGCCAGTGATCTTTTGGGCGGTGTTAATGATCCCTTGGAGTGCTTTCCTCTGAGCCCCTGTGCAGCTAGTGTACCAGATGCATATGCAGTAAGTTAGAACACTCTCAATGGTGGCTCTGTAGAAGGACACCAGCAGTTTCTGTGTGATGTTATTCCTCCTGAGAATTCTCAGGAAGTACAGTCTCTGTTGGGCCTTTTTCAGCAGCTCGGAGGTGTTCACACTCCAGGAAAGGTTCTCCTCTATATTGACTCCCAGGAAGTCAATATAGAGGAGAACCTATATTGACTTCCTGGGAGATATGTTAGAAATCGACAAGCCATCAAAGAAATCTTGCGTGTTCCACAGCTCCACTCACAGTTACTTGAATACATGACAAAATATTTGTCCCAGTGTTGATTCAAAGTCCATAAGACACATATAGCCCAAGTCTCTCCGATACTAGAAACTTGGAGTACAAGTACAGCTGATATTAGATCGCATTTCATAGAAGTGCACCATAAGAATCACAGCTGATTTTAAAAAATCTGAAATGGTTGCTGAGTTTATTACGATAATTGCATTTCAAGTGTTTCATGATTTGGCTCAAACTTTACTCAGAAAACAGACTTGAAAGGTCGACTGCAGTTTTATATTTTTAAGCAAGAGTCATCTTATTGGGAAGATGTAAGTAACTTGGGACGGAGGTGGAAAATACCTAAACCATGTTTACTGTAGTGCTGGACCAAAGTAGTTCATTTCTGCTATATTGCACCTGTATCCCACCACAATTAAAGTTCGGTTACTTTTCCTTTTTATATTTTTTGTTCATAATACAAAATCTATTTAAAAAACATAAGTTATTGGGCTTTGGATAGGCTGTTAAATCGCTCAAGCACAACTATTTTTTTTTAAATAAAAAGTCTCTTTTACATCCTGCATATGAGCTTTGATCATGTTTTCTATGATAATAAATCAGCTACCACCAAAACAACAATAAAATTGCGAATGATCCTCGCCGGCCTCCGTCGTGTCTCCAACCGGCGATATCCTTCCCGTCACTTTCTTGACTTCCCATCCCACTCCTGCGTAGCTCTGATCCCGGCTTTCTGCTTCTCTCTCCTCTTCGGTCTTTTCTGGATACCATGTCGGAGTACAACGCGGTACCTCCGCCCGTCCCCGGGGCTCCTCTGCCCGGACAGGCGGCTGTGGGGAACGGAGCGGGGGGCGCCAAGAAGGATGCGTTTGCGGACGCGGTGCAGCGGGCCCGGCAGGTGAGGCAGGGATGAGACAGACAGCTAAGAAGCTAGCATGTATGAAGGCGGACACACCTGAGACCAGGTTAAATTTGACATTCGAACACTTCATGGTGAATGTGTCTACAGTCAGGCACACCTCTGCCGCTTCATCCATCACATGTCAGCGTTAGCTTTAACTGAGGCCGGACAGTTTCAGCGTCCCACCAAATATCCAGTGTGACAACACTGAAAACCTTCAGAGAACATTATTATCTTCACTTCACTACCAGCTTCTTCCTCTGCGCTGAGCTACATTATGAATGTTAGTAGTTGATATAAAGGTGTTTCAGGATAATTCAGGTGTGTGCTGCAGCCTCAAGGCCAAAGAATAGAAAACACATCAGTATCCATCACATAGCTCATTAAAAAAAATACTCTATTTATCTTAATGTAATGGTGGATCTGATCCATAAAATAAACTACAGTCACGCCAGAGGCATTCCCAGGATTTCCGTGGGTGGGTTAACCCCAAGGAGGGAGCTTGGGGGGAAATCAGAAAAATGTGTAAAAATCATTAAAAAGCAGTAATACTGTAGATCTGCTGCACTACAGTGAACTATCTGGCAAATCTTCTGCTTGTGTTTCAGATCGCAGCTAAGATCGGGGGCGACGCTGGTCCTCCTGTGAACAACAGCACTGCTCCAGATAGTTTTCCCTTCACTGCGCAGAAACGACAGCTAGAGGACACAAATACTGGTGACTGCACCTTTATTTCGCTTTGTGATTATTTTAGTTCCAGGGAGTCTCCTATGAACATTCATTTCATTTCCTCCTCTGACAGATGAGCCAGAGACCAAGAAGCTGGCTGCTCAGAGTGACTTGGAGTCAGCCAAAGCGCTGTGTGAGTTCATCTTACTGTTGCATGCATTGTTATTTGTGACCTACAGTCAACAGTGGGTGTCTGCGTCCTCCACATTAGTCCGTTGGTAATCCTAAACCTCTCCCCTGCCTTGTTTTCTCATTCAGCTATTGGTGCACAGCTAGCTGCTCTTGCACAGCAAAGGTGAGATCTCGTACCTCTCAGGTGACTGTGTATTAATCTGACTTTGCTATTGTCTGATTTATTGCTTTTTTCCCCCCCACCTTTGTATCCCTCCTGTAATCATGGCATCAGACCCACCTCCACCACAGAGGAGTACAGTGTTCCAGACAGTATGGTGGGACTCAGTGAGTGTAGCCCAGCTTTATTTTAACACGTACTGTATACCACACTTTTTTTTAAACCCCACCTTCTCTCTTCAGTTATTGGCCGTGGAGGTGAACAGATCAATAAGATACAGCAAGAGTCGGGTTGCAAGGTTCAGATAGCTCCAGGTACTGGTTGCACTCGTCGTCTACAGATACTCATCCTGGGCGTGAATGTCAGTGTAATTTGGGGTTTTCTTTTTTCAGGGTGAAATGATTGTACAGCATGCATCTTTAATTACTTTATAAAACAAGAATTTAGTGTACAAGTTTGGGTTTATTTTGGATTTTCTCTAATCCACATAGGGTCAAACCTTTACATACGCTCACTTAATGCTGTTCTTCACTGAAAGGCATTTAGTGAAGATCTAAGATGGAGAATTGTAGATTTACACAAGGTGGGTGAGTCTCTTGGAGCCATTTCTAAACAACTGCA